TTAACCAACTTTTGGTGCTTTTGGCAGTGTGGGCAGGTGCCAAATCCTGCTGGAAAATGAAATCAGCATCTTCAAAAATCTGGTCAGCAGAAGGAAGCATGAAGTGCTCCAAAATTTCTTGGTAAACCCAAGAAGAGATAAAAAGATGCAGTTACTACTTTTGTTTAATCCGTGGCAGAAACAGGCTTTCATAGGGTTTAGATCTATAAGATTAGGTTGTACGTTCTTCATACGATTTCACAATGTCCTACGAATTATTACCATTTTGGGCATGCTTACTCCAGACCCAGCATTTTTTCTGTACAATTGGTTGACTGATATAGAAAATAATGCAAATCTCCAGAGTTTTCCTATGCCAAATTTAGGATGTGAAGATTACTGATATTGATGAGACAGGGTATAACTTAAGCAATATTCGTCCACTAGACAATATATTTGAACTGTTAGATGATTTGCAATTTTTGTTTTACTATTGAAGTAGTCCGCCATCTGAACTTGGAGAAAAACTCCTTTTAAATCTTCTGATGTAGGCCTACACACACACACACACACACACACACACACACACACACACACACATATTCTTAGATAGTCAATGATCCTGATGCCAAGAGACAAAACATATCAATTTCCCATGTATTCCGCCCTAATGTGCTGAACGTGGACTATTAATCACAGAAACGTGTCCATTCTTCAGCATCTTGCAGCTCCATGAATTTGGCCATAAATTTCCATTTCGACAAACCCACGAGGGCCATCCATTTGATATATGGTTTCAGATAGCAGCACCTTTTCCATTGGGAATACCCCTAAAACCATTTACATGTGAGACCCGTCTCCCAGAGCTAATCAGACACCTGGGAGTTACAGGAGGAAGAGACAGAAAAGAGAGATGATTTTTTTTTTTTTGCGACCCTCACTTTTGCACGACTTCCCGTCGCTGGCAAGGACATGGCCGGTCCGGCAGCGGCACACGTGTGATTTGTAGTTGTGGCTCAGGAGACAGATATGCGAGCATCCACCTTTTCTTCCATGTGGGTCAGGGCTGCATGCATGAGTCTTGACTGGAGAAAGAGAAAAGTCAGCATCAAGGAGCAAGCATCGTAAAATATCACTTCAACCACACCCTAAATGGTTTATAATTTTTCGCAGCAAACACCTGATAAATACAGAATTATTTAGAACGGTGTTTCACACAGAGCAGGAAAACGAACAATGCTACATACAACAACACAACAAAATGCTAAATGTTATTTGCAATATTCTGACACAACTTCATTAGTCACTTTGTAGCACAGCTAAATGCTAATACAAAATCTAGCCCTGTGATTCTTAAATGTTTTAGGATGATACAATTATTAGAATGGAGTTTCACATGCAGCAGGACAAAACAAAGCTACATGTTACATAAAAATGCTAAATAATAAAAGGCAACTGGTTGTGTATAATTTGGGAAGCAAAATAAATAGGCTTATAAACTTTGAAAGTGGAGGAGAAAATACTTTTCATATTTTGGTTGATCATACATCTTGACTAAACTCTAGGATATTTTGACAAATTCATTGGTGCTTCTTCAATGTTTTAGGATGATAAAATTATTAAAACAGTGTTTCATGTACAGCAAGGAAAATGCTACATGCTACATAACAAAAGGATAAATAACAAAGGCTTTAAAAATGGAAGAGAACATGTTTTTTTTTCCGTTGATGTCAAAGATCATAAGTCTGACTAAACTCTAATAATAAAGGCAACTAATTGAGTATAGTTAGAAAAGCAAAACATATAGGCTCATAGAATTTTGTGGATGGAGGAGAAATACTTTCCATATTTTGGCTGATGTCAAAGATCATATGTCCGATTAAACGCTACGATATTTTAACACAGATTCATTAGTCACTTCGCAATACGGCTAAATGCTACACAATTTGCTACATAATCTATACAAAGTTTAGTGTAGTGTTTCTACAATGTTTTACAATGGCAAAATGCTGCTATTTATGCCATTACAAAATTGTGAAATGTAAGCTGGATTAATGACTTTATTTTAGGACTTTAAGCACATTTTAGCTACTTCTATACAATCAAAACTTTGCATTTTCCTGGGTTGCCACTTGATGTTCAGTGTAAATCCTGGGTCCTGAAGAAATATCTTCAACAAATAGTTTGAAGTGTCAAATTTGTGTACAAATCCTAAAATAGCAGATCAATATGAAATCCTGTTTCCACCTCAAATAAAAACGGTAATTCTGACATTATTCCTCACAGTTGCAACTTGTATTTTTACAACGTGATGGTATTTCTTATTTTTAACTTTACCTCACCGTTGTATGAGTGTAATGGGCTTCCATAGCATAGATTAACTGAGATATTGCAGAAATTGCAGTAAAATCCAAATGAAAATGGTTTGTGTCATCTATGTTAAGCCTCAGTCATGAAACATGAGCAGAACTTATTTCTAAATTGTTGAACCTGATTCTAATAGCATAATTTCAGTAGAGTTTAGCCCAAAAACATTGAAATGCACACCAGACATCACTAGTTTTAATCTGAGCCATTGCTGATTATATTAGTCATGCTCCGACAACAAGTTTACCTGTAGGTTGAGCCAGTCTATGATAAACTCGGACGGCTCTGGCACTTTCCAAAGTGGTAACGGTGTTTGTGTCACTGCTGTTAAACCGATTTATTCTAAATATGTCCACCTTGCTCTCTCTGGAGGGTTCAGAGCACGTCGCAAACAGGTAATCTTCAAAGAGAGCTAATCCGAAAAGGTGCGACACCTGGAAAGAGAAACACAGGGATGGGGGAAAGAGAAAGATTCATCTAGAGGCCATGGCACCTCTTCGACTTAATTCTGAACACGACACAAATACGTCTGCTTAAATTCGCTTCTTTAATCCATCCAGCTATAGAGCTGATATAACATTCGGTGAATAAACAGCAGCCCTGATAGACACCAGTTGAAATATGCAGGGATCTTTGATGTCACATCTGTGGTACAAATTACCCGCGGGTAGCGCTGAGGCTTTGATTTCGGGGAAAAAAAGGCAAAAGACTGACGTTAAAAACAAATGAGTTCGAGGTAGCGGAGTTCATTTCAGGTTATCTTTCAGTGCCAGCTCTGAGAAAAAAGTACCAATATAGCCTCGATAGAGTCCCAGGGAATATGCTAGAGCTGAGCCTCGCAGGAAATGGATGAACAAATCAATAACCAAAAGCACACAAAGAGCTGTAGTGGGAAGCCAGGACTCTGCAAGGTCAAAACAACCCGATGCTCAACCAGGTTAACGGTTCTGACTGGGGACAATGAGACGGTTTCAGAAATGTCAAGGAAAACAAGTCCTAACGCCACATCCATGCAACCAGTCTACATAAACGGCCACAGTTTGATCACATGTTTCCTTTGATTTCACAAGTAGGATGTTGATCCTGGAACAGTTTCTCTATCTACGAAAACTGTTCACTGGATTTGAAACAGTTTGCCAGGTTAGTGGCATTCAGTATTTGAAAGATTTACTTTGTGGTGTACACTACCATTTAAAAGTGTGGGGTTTGCTAAGAATTTTTGAATGTTTCCGAGTCTCTTATGCTCACCAAGGCTACATTTATTTGGTTAAACACATGGTAAAAACTAGGGCTGGGTATCGTTCAAAAATTTTCAATATCGATACAGATACCGATACCTTGACTTCGATATCGGTTCCTGAACGATACTTTTTTCGATATCAATTTTATGAAATCAATTTTAACAAGATTACATTATCTAAAAAAAAAAAACCGGTTACACTTTACTTAAAGGGGTGTGCATAAGACTGACATGACACCTTCATAATCATGACATGACACCTACATAATCATGACATGACACGTCCACTGATTTACTGATGAGCATTAGCAGCTGAACATGCACTTTCGGTCGTGTAGTATGAACAGACATCTGCATATGATCGGAACTCCACGCAGCTCCCGCGTTACTCTCCATTGGAAATGAATGACTGAATGACCGGTTTGTCGCTTGTCGTTTGTCGGAGATAGTGGAAAGCCGGCTTGAAATGCAGTGGAAACGCCAGTATGACGAGGATTGTTTTCATTTTAAAACATAAACGCACCAGTGTAAATGTAGCCTTACATCTAAGGGGGCTGGGACGCATTCGCACTACAGCCTCACGTGTGCGCCACATCTCTGAGTGTAACCGGTGTAAACTAGTAGGTGTGTTCGGCTTGACGCGGACTGACTGTGCAGACCGATCGGTGTATTACAGTACCACGAGAGCTAAAGAGAGGATGTCAAACACTGATCGATCTGCGTCACACCTCTTCTAGTCGAACACACCGGCTAGTGCTGCAGGCTTATTGGCTCACTAAGATTAACCCCTTTAGGTATCGGAATTTGGTACCGAACAACGAGATGTTTTTCGATACTCGATGGTATCGAGGCATTTCGGTCGGTGCTTAAAAAGTATTGAACTCAATACCCAGCCCTAGTAAAAACTGTAATACTGTGAAATATTACTACAATTTAAATTACTAGGTCATTTATACCTGTGATGGCAAAGCTGAATTTTCAGCAGCCATTTCTCCAGTCTTCAGTGTTAATGATCCTAAGTGGCCGGTTGTTGGCTAGAATAAGATGCAATGTGTACCAAATCTAACGCTGATCAATCAAAGGTCTGACTGTGTGAGACTAAATTGGGGGTTACAGGAAAGTTGTTCCAGGACCAACAAAGATTGCTGAATTCACAGTCACCTTCACTGCATTCAAATTCAAGCCAGCACAGGAATGAAATCTAATAACCAGCAAAAACACTGAACACTCACAAGAATCGACATTTACAAAAAGGCCTACAACACTTGAAAAGCATGAAAAAACGTCTGAAAACTATACAAATCATGTAAACCATGAACCCCTGCACACAGGCACTTTCCAAAAGGGATAGGAGGAATTTGTAAAACTCTTTCCTAAGTATCGCATCGGGGTATTAGTTAACACCAGATGTCTCATAATGCTGATAAACAGCCTCAGATGGATTATCTATTGTTTTCGGAAAAAAAAAATGCACGGGTTTGAGAGTGCCCTTGGCCTGTACTATGAACTATGGATGAAATTTATACTGAATTTATGAAGCTATGAATTTTGTATCACCATACTTTTGGGCCCGTTCGAGGGGCGAGGGACAGAGGCCAAACTTTATAGTCTTTAAAATAAACTGCTTTAAGAGTTATTCAAAGGAGCATCATTTATCACAGCTTTACTGCTGACTATTAAGGCAGCTGGGTAAAATATATGCAATAACTTCTTCTAGATAGTTTAGTTGAATAGAGGTCACCAATCTTTGCCTGTCTAGACTTTTTTATGCTGGTCTGGACCAGCATAAACAAGATGTTCACCAGCTAACTGGATATTCACATGCAAACGGCAACACATCTTGTGCTGTGTCAGAATATGCCTACTTCCATACTATACAGTATAAAAAAATCTGGACACAAAAAGTGTAGTATGTCCGAACTCGAAGTATGCGAAAAACAGTATGCCAAAAGAGTAGAATATACGGTAACATTAACAGTAAGCCAATATTCATAGTTTGCACCACAAGAGTAGTATGTACACCAATATTAACAGTAAACCAATATTTGTAGTTTTTAAAAAATAGGGTGCCAAAAAAGTAGCATGTCCAAATTCATAGTATTTGAAAAACAATACGCCAAGTATTGCATGTCCGAATTCGCCTAGTACGCGAAAAGAGCAGCATGTCCGAATTCATAGTATTTGAAAAATTGTACGCCAAGAGTAGTATGTCTGAATTTATATTATTCAAAAAAAGTATGCCAAAAGAGTGTATGTCAATATTAACAGTATGCCAATATTTGTATTTTCAAAAATAGTGCGCCAAAAATGTAGCATGTCCAAATTCATAGTATTTGAAAAACAGTATGCCAAAAGAGTAGAATGTGCACCAATATTAACAGTATGCCAATATTCGTAGTTTTCAAAAAACAGTGTGCCAAAAAATGAGTGTCCAAATTCATAATATTTGAAAAACAGTACGCCAAGTATAGTATGTCCGAATTCGCCTAGTACATCAAGAGCAGCATGTTCAAATTCATAGTATTCAAAAAATAGCACGCCAAAAAAAGTAGTATGTCAGAATTCCTATTATTCAAAAAAAAAAGAGTAAGCCAGAAGAGTAGTAAGTACACCAATATTAACAGTGCACCAATATTCGTAATTTTTGAAAAACAGTGCACCAAAAAAGTAGCATGTTCAAATCCATAGTATTCGAAAGACAGAACACCAAAAGTGTAGCATGTCCAAATTCATAGTAAGCAAAAACTGTACGCCAAAAGAGTAGTATGTCAGAAATTTGAAAACTAATATTTAATAATTTGTTGATGAAAATTCTGGATTCTGAATTGAGCATTCGATGGACACTTTAATATCCCAAGAAGCCACATGAGAGAAGTGAATGGCGGTGAAGCGACGCAACTGGTAGGTCACATGACGGTGATAACATGGTGGATGTAGTATGTTCGAATTTCATTCATACTACCCATTTTCATACTACGCACGTACATACTACGTACTTTTACATACTTCATACTTATTTTGGCATGAAGATCATGGATTCAAAAAGAAGAAACCAAGATTGAGCACATCTTACCGAGTTTCCTTGGATGACCATGTGTCTGTTCTTGCCATTGTAATCCACAACTTCGATAAAATCCAGATAAGCATCTGTCCAGTAGACGAGCTTCTTAACTAAGTCCAATGTCACGGCAGTCGGCTGTTCAGTTTTATACTCCACAATCCTGGTTCGTTTGGTGCCATCCATGTTGCAGCGCTCCAACTTGGCTACTGTCCCATAGTCCGTGAAAAATAGTTTTCTGAGGGGCAAGAACAGATTAGTTTTAAAACAGAATCTACAAACTATCTGACGTAAAAGAAATCAAAAGTCAAGGCCATTTAAGATTTAATCAATCCACTCATACCCATTATTTTTCTATTCTTCAAAATATTGTGCCAGAGCTGAATCCTTGCAGCAGCAACAGTGCAATTAAACTGAGCCACCCTGAGCAAAACCTGAATGAATGGGCCGCAGTATGATATTTCTCTTTATACTAACACATCCTGACAGTGGAATAAGAGAGGGGGAGGTCATCCGCATTACTCCGCACAACGATTCTGGCACAGAAACGGTCCTCGTTGTCTGAAAGCAGCAAACTGGCCCCAACAGCATGCACAACTCAGCACTGCATACAAATGAATGTTTATCAAGAGACCAAAGAGTTTCTCACGTCACAGACGCGTAGATGATTCGACATTAGATAAGGATGATTTATTTACTCCTATGAAAAATTTAACTGAGAGTCTCCTTCAGGACGTGTGATCATTTTAAGATGGTACAAATAGCTGAATATCTTTGCATAGGTTAATGAACTATGAACTATTTGTTTGGAAAGGGTTCTAAAAGGTAATTTTATTGACCTTTTATCAGTTCTTTAAACTTCAGTGACCAAGTACGACAAAAAAATGTATTCACTCATTCATAATTTTTTTTCTTCTATTTTTATGTAGCAAATGGCCTAAATAATAATAATAATTATTTTTATTATTATTATTATGTTAAACTGTTAAAATTATAATAATATTTAAAATATTTAATAAACTACTGCTTATGAAGATATAATTATTATTATTATTATTATTGATACTTGTTATTTACTTTATTTAATTTATAATTGCATTGCATAATATATTACATTTAAATTACATTCATTTACATGAAAGGTCATTTATCGCAATAAAAATAATTTTATACTTATTTGCTTGAAATGTATTTAATTAAATTATGTGATACATTCAATTTAGATTTAATTGCTTTAAATGAAAGGTACTTTATAATAATAATAATATTTAAACTATTGATGATGATGATGATGATGATTATGACACTAGTTATTTACTTTTTTTTTAATTTCCATATCTAAATTGTGTGAAACATAAAATTTAAATACAATTACGTAAAAGGTACTTTAACACAATAATAATAATAATAATAATAATAATAATAATAATAATAAAAATAATAATAATAATAATAATAATAATAATAATAATAATAATAATAATAATAATAATAATAATAATAATAATAATAATAATAATAATAATAATAATAATAATAATAATAATAATAATAATAATAATAATAATAATAATAATAATAATAAAATATAGTAATAAATATTATAATAAATTAAATATTTATTCAATGTAAAAAAATACTTATTATTATTATTATTATTATTATTATTATTATTATTATGTACTAATTAAATTAAATTATTTACAAATGAAAGATGCTTCTTATTCTTGCCCAATCATATTATTTTTGTCATAAACTGATGGAAGCAAACCAGTTTATTGTAAAGCTAATATTAGTAAAGATAATATTACAAATGGATAGTTCAGACTCACAATTCATACATATATCCGTGTACATATACTATTCATATATGAACTGTCAATCACAGTACAATCACAATGAATATGTACAATCACAGCTATGCGTCCAGTATAGCGTCTGATTTCTGTTTTTTAATCGTAATAGCAGTATTTTTTTAAATGTATCCAAGCCAGTTTCACCAACTAACGCTCATCTCATATATACGGTCATAACGGCCAGCCCTAAATTAAGAAACCTAATGCTTGTCTTAGCAAGTGTACCCCATGATTGGATCCAGCGCTAGGCCTTTAGGGTTCTGGATGTCCAGGTCAATGATGGTGGCACATGCATCTCCCTGTTCACTGCACACGAATATCCGGTCGTTCACTCTGTCTACGAAGTAGAAGTTTCCTGTCAACCAGTCGATGGCCATATGCTCCACATCTAGATGGAAGAAACCAATCTTTTTAGACATGGGTCATCAGAGTTTGTATCTGATAGTTAGAAACAATTAAAAAGTCATGCCTTCTTCAAAAAAGCAACAACCGACATTCAACCGACTTGACATGCACACTTGACTCATTCAACCTTGTAAAATTAAACACTTCATTAGAAGATCATTAAACACGTCAAGAGGTAAAAGTAATGAAAAAAAGAGACTAATGAGAAAATTTATATGGACATTAAACACAACACTAAAGTTCATAAAAACTTCAAAGGGCATAAGTTTGCTCTTGCTCTGAATTAATCATCAAAGTTGCGAAACGTTCCTTAACTTGTGTACTTACTTTGCAGGTTCTGACCTATCCGTATCTGGCGTTTTTCTGAAAAGCCTTTGAGTTTGGTCATGCGGGCACACCACAGCTGACCTGTATCCTGTGCCAATGAGAGCCAACAGAGTGACTCTTCTCTATAAATAAAGTCCAATATTTGAGTCCCATTTGTCTCCATGGACTTGATATTTGGCATAGATGATCCATTGAGGTAAACAACTGATATAGAATTCATATTTGCTGTCAACAGAACCGGAGGTTTATCACCAGGATCTGAAAGAGGGAACACAAAATGCATAGAGGTCCTTAGAGCTATTCATAATAAATATTTCCTGTTAAATCTAAATTAAAGGGGTCATATGATGCGATTTCAAGTTTTCCTTTCTCTTTGGAGTGTTACAAGTGGTTCATGAATAGATAAGGTCCCTAAAGTTGCAAAGACTAAAGTCTCAAACCCAAAGAGATATTCTTTATAAAAGTTAAGACTCGTCCACGCCTACCTAAAACGCCTCGTTTAAACACACCCCCACACTGTGTGGGAAGATTTGCATAACAGCGCCCAAATGTATATGCAAAGAAAGAAGGCGTAACTTTGATTCTCTCTGCAGTATTGTTGCCGCCACTGTGTGTTTCGTTATGAAAGCGAAACTACTTTGTTTGGTCTTCCAAAAGAGGACACAACAAGAAATCAGTAGTTAAGTTGTATTTACAACACTGTTCTAGAACAGTTCAAACCAAATATTCAGATGTGTGCAACGCATTTTACGGAGGACGAGGACTGTTTCCTGGGAGAGTAGCCTACAATGCCGGTGTTCCGGTGAATTCAGTTACCCTGTTTCCCCTTTGGTGCGCATGCTGACCCTATACAGTCTATGATGCTGACAAATAATGCTGACTCACAGCCTGTAAGTACGTTTTCATATTTAAAGGATTTGCCACTGATGATTCAAACGCGAGGTTTGAGCAGTGTAGAGTAGCGCTTGTTGTTTGTCATTTCTCCGATCACAAATGCAGACATGGTTTTATGTTTACG